TTGACCTGCGATTGTTGTCTTGTTCCAGAAGCTGTCAAGCTGTGGCTGGTAGAGTTTTCCTGAATTCTTGTTTGGGTTAAATACCAATTAAGAGTATTCATTGAGACTAGAAAACTAAGACAAGTTAGCCATACTTTCTTTAAAGAAAAATTTTATATTTATTGTGTGGAATATTACACTTTATATAATGCGCTTTTAAAGTATGATATCTATATATCTATAAAAAAAAACTTTTTTTATAGATATAATGCGATTTATATTTGACCTGGTTGCTTGAAGGTTTTTATATACACTACTCATACACAGGCTTTATATTTTATTACACTTTACTCAGTAGTGTACACTTTATATAATGCGATTTTATACACTACTCCACATAGGCTTATAGGTCTGAACTGAGTAATGTTGGTAGGGTTCAGACATTTGGGCACAAGAGTGACCAGTGTGTGATTCCAGTACCTCAGAATTTGCCCAAATGTGAAGAAGCTATGAACTGCTGCACAGAAATCCTTTTTGATTATAGGCAAGTAGTGTTGAAAGAACAGAGGAGTCATTCCATCCTCTCTAGGAGCTTTGAGAGGGTGCAGTTGAAATAGAGCTCTTTGAATGTCATCATCTGAGATTGGCTTGGTGAGTTGTTCATTCATTTCCCCTGTGATGGTTGTGGGAATTAAATTGATGATTTCAAAGGAATCATGGGTGCCTTCAGAAGTAAAGAGGTCCTGGTAGTATGTTGATATTTCCTTGGCAATATCTTCTTGGGATTCACAAATTCTGCTGCTGCCATCAACGAGTCTGGTAATGGCATTGCCTTTTCTTCTCTGCATAGTATAGGCATGAAAAAAAACTTGTATTCTGGTCCCCTTCCTTAAGCCAAAGCACCCTGGACTTCTGCTGCCAATATAATTCTTCAGATTCTTGAGCAAGCTCAAGCTCTTTTTTGATAGCTTCCCATGTCTCCAAGATTTTCCCTTCACCAAGAAGTCTCATTTTCTCCAATTTCAGAGAGAGTTTCTCAATATTCTCTTTCTGCTCTGATTTGAATAATTTGCTCCATTTTGAGAGGGCTAATTTGGTGAGTTTGATCTGCTCCTTGAGTTTAAAGAACGGGGTTCCCTGGTGAGGGATTGACCAGGCTTTCTGTATTACCTTTGAGCATCCTCCCCTGTTGAGCCATCTTCTATAAAAAATGAATCTCTTGGACTTCTTAGGTCTGAACACTTTGTCATCTAAGAGCAGTAACCCATGATCTGAGGCACTTTTGTAAATGTTGGAGATTTGAGCTTGAGGATATTTGTTCAACCAATCGAGAGACCCAAAGCCTCTATCTAATTTTTCTTCTACATAGCCTTCTGTGGATCTATTGTTGCCCAAAGTGAACTGATAGCCAGACATTGGAATTTCCTCCATGCCCATGGATGATATGAAGCTATGAAAGGCTAAGTAGCTAGAATCTGGCCTCCTTCTACCTCCTCTTTTCTCATCCTTATTGAGGATATCATTCTAGTCACCCAAGATTGTCCACATATCCCCCCATTCCACTTTATCCTGTTTCAGCATGTTCCATTGATTAATTCCGATAGCTTTGTCTGTATTCATATAGACAAAATTAATCCAGTTGGTCTCCTCCATATTAGGCATAGTGTATTGGACCTGGATACTAAAGCCTGAGCATTTGATTTGCAAAATCTTGGGTCAAAGTTCCACATCAACATAAGACCTCCTTTAGAGCCAAGAGGATCAACAAAACACACTATGTCCTCAAAACCAAGCTTTCTGCAGACTTCCATAGCAAATATTTTTTGTTTTTTAACCTCTAAAAGAAACAAAACTAGGGTGGTGAGATAGGATTACCTCTCTTATCTGGGACACTGTCGATGGTCCACCCAGACCTCTACAGTTCCATACTATGGCCTTCATTTGGGGGGTTAGGACCAATTGTGGCTGGCTTCCTCCACCTTGTGTTTGGATATCTTGGCCTTTTTAGTGTCTGATATTGCATTGCAGGAATTATTATTCTCTT